GGGGTGCGGGGTGTGTGGGGGGACTGGGAGCCGTCGGCCAGAGCGAGGGGCTGGGGCTATTAATAGCGAGGCCGGAGGGTGAAGGGACAAACGTCCCTTAATGGGGCCGCTCTGGCCGGGATGCGGAGGCTGGTACCAGCCCTCCCCGCGGCCAGACAAGGGCCACTGTTCTCTGGGCGGCAGCGGAGGCGGGGGCGGGGTCCACCCGGGCAGCAGCCGGGGGCTCCAGCGGGTGCCCCCAACTCTCGCAGCCACTCTGCCCCGAGGCGGCTACCGTGGGCCCAGGAGGCAGGGTCTGGGGAGGGTGGGGGCGTGGGGACCTCCTTGGGGAGCGCCCCGTTTCCAGTCTGAGGTCAGGAGTGGCCTGGCTGAGGGTCCTGGCAGCAGGACAGCGGGGTGGCCCCGCAGTAAACGGGGCCCCACTGGGCGGCACCCAGGTCGGGGTGGAGGGTGTGGGTGGCCGTCCCCTGCTGACTGCCCTCATTCCCGGGGGTACCAGCTGGGGGCACCACAGGGTGCAGGTGCAATGGGGACACCCCTCCAGGTTTTCACCCCTTCCTGCTCCCCAGATCCATCAGGAGGGGGTGCTCCCCGCCCGCCCCAAGCCTGGGAGGTCCCATCTGGTGCCATGGGGGGGGGGCTGAGTCCGAGACCCACCAGGTAGGGCTGCCTCCCTGCTCCCTCCCAACCCCCAACCCCCACTCCCACCCTCACCTCCATCCCCCACCCTCACCTCCATCCCCCACCCTCACCTCCATCCCCCACCCTCACCTCCATCCCTCACCCTCACCTCCACCCCCCCACCCTCACGTCCATCCCCCCACCCTCACCTCCATCCCCCCTACCCTCACCTCCACCCCCCCACCCTCACCTCCACCCCCACCCTCACCTCCACCCCCCCACCCTCACCTCCACCCCCCCACTCTCACCTCCACCCCCCCACCCTCACCTCCACCCCCCCACCCTCACCTCCATCCCCCCCACCCTCACCTCCATCCCCCCCACCCTCACCTCCACCCCCCCACCCTCACCTCCACCCCCCCACCCTCACCTCCATCCCCCCCACCCTCACCTCCATCCCCCCACCCTCACCTCCACCCCCCACCCTCACCTCCACCCCCACCCTCACCTCCACCCCCCCACCCTCACCTCCACCCCCCCACTCTCACCTCCACCCCCCCACCCTCACCTCCACCCCCCCACCCTCACCTCCATCCCCCCCACCCTCACCTCCATCCCCCCCACCCTCACCTCCACCCCCCCACCCTCACCTCCACCCCCCCACCCTCACCTCCATCCCCCCCACCCTCACCTCCATCCCCCCACCCTCACCTCCACCCCCCACCCTCACCTCCACCCCCACCCTCACCTCCACCCCCCCACCCTCACCTCCACCCCCCTATCCTCACCTCCATCCCCCCTCACCTCCACCCCCCCACCCTCACCCCCACCCCCCCACCCTCACCTCCACCCCCCTATCCTCACCTCCATCCCCCCCTCACCTCCACCCCCCCAACCCTCACCTCCATCCCCCCTTACCTCCACCCCTCCTTACCTCCATCCCCCCCACCCTCACCTCCACCCTCACCTCCACCCCTCCCACCCTCACCCCCACCCCCCCACCCTCACCTCCACCCCCCCACCCTCACCTCCATCCCCCCCACCCTCACCTCCAACCCCCACCCTCACCTCCATCCCCCCCACCCCGGAGGCAGGGCCTGAGGTCGCAGAGGAGGGCGGGCAGGTTGGGCAGGGAGGTGCTGGACACCTTCATCCAGGCCCCGTGGAGAATGGGGGCCCCGTGGAAAATGGGGGGTCCCCGTGGAAAATGGGGGGTCCCCGTGGAGAATGGGGGTCCCCGAGGAGAATGGGGGTCCCCGTGGAGAATGGGGGTGGCCGTGGCACATCAGGCAGGAATTGGGGCCCCAATGCCCTCAGCCAGCAGGGAAGGGGCTGAGCCCATGGTGGGGGGTCTGGGGACCCCCAGTGCTCCAGCCCCCAAACTGGCATCCCGTTCGCCGCCTCCGCGGGGTGCTCCCGTGACGTCACGAGTGGGCAGGCCCCGCCCCCCCTTTCCCGGAAATGCGGCCGTGTCACCCCGCGTCCCTCCTCCCTCCGCTGGGGGTGGGCGACAAGAGGGGGGGACGGGGCACAGGCGGACCCCACCCCAGGAGGAGGGGAGTGACTCAGAGGAGTGATTGGAATGTCCCGGGTTCGATTCCGGTCAAGGGCACAGACCTTGGTTGCGGGCACATCCCCAGTGGGGGGTGTGCAGGAGGCAGCTGGTCGATGTTTCTCTCATCGATGTTTCTCTCTCTCCCTCTCTCTTCCTCTCTGTGAAAAATCAATAATATATATATATATATTTTAAAATAGAAAAAAAATATTTTTAAAAAAGCAGTGAGGTTCAGCCGGCCAGGGCCGGGGCCCCGGGTTGCGGGGAGCAGAACACAGGGGGGGGGGGCAGCGTCGGGGGGAGGCTCCGAGGAGAAGAGGTCCCCACAGTGACAGGAGGCCCCTCCCGGGTGTCCAGGCCGGAAGCAGGTCAGCAGCCCTCCCCGGCCCGGTCCCCCCAAGGGATGGGCCCCCCGAACCTGGGCAGCGCCCGCAGCACCCTCCCCTCCCACCTGCTCCTGCGGACCTGGGCCCAGCTCCCAGCTCAGGCGGAGGGGCTGCCCGCGCGGCTCCGCGGCGCCGCCTGCTGGCCACATCGCCCTCTGGCCCAGGAGCCCGGAGGGCCAGGTGATGTGGTCCCCGCTGTGGTCCCCACTGCCCCCCGGACCCCAGGGCTGGCGGGAGGCTGCAAGGCCAGCTGGGGTTGCTGCCAGAGGGGGATTCCCCCGCTAAACACCCCAGGCAGGGCCAGACCCCACGCCAGGGCCCCAGAACACGCCAACATCCCAGCCCCCAGAACCCACGTCTCTGCACCACAGCCCACGGACCCTCACCCCTGGCCTAGCCTGCCAGGTCCTGTGGGGTCAGGTCCCCCCACCCCCCACAGGCCGGGTCCCTCCCTCTGCGTCCAGGTCTCTCCCAGGAGCCGTCCCCTGCTGGGGTCGGAGGACAATGGGGCCTCTCAGAGGATGGGCCTCGGAGGGGCCAGGGCAGTGCTCTGGGGGCCGCTGAGAGAGCCCAGGGGAGGGAGGGAGGGAGGGTGGGCAGGGGGAGGGGAGGGGCCACGGGGCCCCACGTGGGGGACCCAGAGCAGAGCTGGTGAGGGCCAGCCTGGCGTGTGCCTCCCAGGCCCCACAGGCCCAAGAGGTGGTCCCAGCAGGAGGGAGGGCTGCTGCCCTTAGGGGCCCAGACATGGGCCAGGAGGGGGCGCCAGCTGCGGGACACAGGCCCCTCTCCACTGCCCGGCGCTGCCAGCTCCTCAGGACGCCCAGGCCCTCGGGCGGAGGGGACACCGGTGCCCACAGGCCAGGTGGGAGGGGCGGCTCGCTGGGCGACCGGGCCATGATGGGCCGTCAGCGCCACCCAGTGGCCACAGGTCCAGTCCGGTGGCTCCCCCAGGCCTGCGATTCCCTGGTTCCGGCTGGAATGGGGGGGTCAGTTCTGCTTCCCGGACCACGAGGCCCGCAGGGGGTTGGCTGACCAGAGTGTCCAGCATGGCCTGTCCCTCCTGGGAGCCGGCCTGGGCTTCCCCTCTCCCCCCTCCTGCCCCTCCTGGGAGCCGGCCTGGGTCACCGCCCCACCTCCCCTCCCACCCGTCTCCCTCCAGGGAATTTCCTGTCCCACCCTCTTCCTCAGAGCATTCCGGGCCTCCGGATCCACCCACGGCCACCCCCTGGCACCATCGCCTGCCCCAGCGCTCACCTGCTCTCCCTCCTCCAGCTCCTCCTGCCCACAGGCTTCCCCCTCCCCCCCAGGGTCCCACAGTGGACTCGCCCCCTCCACACCCTTGGCCATCACTCCTTGGAGGACCTCTCCCACCACCTCTGGCCCCTCAGCTGGCACCGAGGATCGGCGGTGAATGCCTGTGTGGGCTCCCAGTCGGTCCCCTGCTGAGCCCACAGACTCCAGGTCCCTCTAGGAGCTCGGGGTCCCCAGCATCCCCCCCCCCCCGCAGACTCACACACACACACACACACACACACAGACATGCAGCTCCGTGCCCCACACACACACACACAGACACGTAGCTCCACGCCCCCCCAGACAGACACGCAGCTCTGTGTCCCCCCCCCACACACAGACACAAAGACATGCAGCTTCACCCCCCCCCCCACACACACACACAGACCCGCAGGGCACGGGGCTGAGACGTGGAGAGGGAGAGCCAGAGGCAAGCTGCCGAGGGGCCAGACTGCTCCACTCGGGGTGTCCGAGCCGGGGGCCGGAGCAGAGGCCGAGGCCCGCCTGCCCACTGGCCTGTGAGAACATGGGGGGCGGTCTCCCGATCCAGCCTCCCCATCCCACAGCCTGCCCTTCCTCAGGGGTTCTGAGAACCCCAATGCTGGCTGCCCCGCCCGAGGGCCCCACTCTCTGGATCCCTCAACCACGCACCCGAGGGGCCCACAGGCTGGGCCCTGACAGCACCCAGTTAAGCTTTTGACTGAATGTGAGGGTAAGGGGCGCGCCCGCGGAGGGGGCGCCCGGGGAGGGGGCAGGGGACCCCGAAGCTGCAGGCCTGTGCCCCGAAGCTCAGCAGTCACTGCTCCCGTGGACAGGTGCAGCCGCACGGCAACGCCAGCCTCAGTGCTCACACTTCCCAACGAGACAGCGCACACGTGTTGTAGGCCCACCTTCAGCGGTGAGTTTTATTATAAAGAACCTTCAGCGCACACGTGTTGTAGGCCTACCTTCAGCGGTGAGTTTTATTATAAAGAACGGTATCAAAATAGACGATCTGTGTGAGAACCAGAAATGCAGCTTTCTGAAGGGCCAGTGGCACCAACCGTTTGGAGGCAGCGTCTCCGGGGCCTGGGGACCGGGAGGCCGGGCGGGCGGCCGTCCGGCGTCGGCCAATAACTTAGGGGTCTGGCTTCGGGGCTCCTCAGTCACAGGTCCTCGCGGGAGGGCGGCGCTGTGGGGGTCTCCGCTGTGGCTTCTGCCAGGAAGCAAACAGGATGCCGGGAAAACCATCAGCAGGGCGGGGAGGGTGGCCCCGTGCTCGCTCCTGCGTCCTGCTGGGACTCGGGCGAGTCCGACACGGCGGATTCAGGCTGGACACCCACCAGCGTCCCTGCGGACACTGCTCTTCACCCCACCTGCTCCTAGGGCTTCTAGACGTCCCTGGAGGAACTGTGCCCCAAAAGACGGTGCCATCCAAACCCTCCGCCCGCGCCCCCCCCTCCCTCCCACACACACACAGCTGCAGCCAAGGATTTCGGAGGGAGCAGAGCCCTGGTCTGATCTGCTTCTCCCCTTCTCCCCAGCCTCCTCACCCTCTCCAGATCCCTCCCCAGGCCCCGCCCTCCTTCCCAGGCCCCGCCCCTCCTCCCCAGGCCCCGCCCCTCCTCCCTAGCCCATCTCTCTCTGCAGCATCTCCTGACGTCATGGTCCAGGGCTTCCCGTGGCATCGCCCACCTCGTGTCTGCAGGGAGCTTTGTCCCTACAGAGAAGCCCCTTGTCTGCCAGACGCTTTCCGTGTGGGTTTAACCGGGAGCTCGTGCGGCCCGTGACCCCCAGGCAGAGGGAGCGGGCAGAGGGCAGCGGGCAGAGGGCGGCGGGCAGCTGCAGGGAGACCTCCCCACTCACCCTCCCCAGCTGGCTGCGCTGCCTGCACACAGGCGTCCTCCGTCTCCTCGTAGCCTTCGGGGCACACGCACACGTAGCTGCCAGGCGTGTTGTAGCAGTTCTCGTGTTTCCTCAGGCAGGGCTTCTCTGGCAGCGAGCACTCGTCCACGTCTGGAAGCAAGTCCCTGATAAGCCAGTGCTCTGGGCAGACGCACCGCAGGTGACGCGGTCCGTCACGCACACACATACATGAACACACCACAGGTGACAGGGTCCGTCACGCACACACATACACGGACGCACCGCAGGTGACGCGGCCCGTCACGCACACACATACACAAACACACCACAGGTGACGGGGTCCGTCACGCACACACATACACGAACACACCACAGGTGACGCGGTCCGTCACGCACACACATACACAAACACACCACAGGTGACGGGGTCCGTCACGCACACACATACACGGACGCACCGCAGGTGACGCGGTCCGTCACGCACACACATACACGAACACACCACAGGTGACGGGGTCCGTCACGCACACACATACACGAACACACCACAGGTGACGGGGTCCGTCACACACACACATACACAAACACACCACAGGTGACGCGGTCCGTCACGCACACACATACACGGACACACCACAGGTGACGGGGTTTGTCACACGCACACACATACACGGACGCACCGGATGCACTATAGGTGACGGGGTTTGTCACACACACATACATGGACACACCACAGGTGAAGGGATTTGTCACACGGCATGCACGCACGCGCGCGCCCAGGACTCAGAACCACCAGCAGGGGAGCGTGGGGAGAGCAGTAACACACAGCTCCACGCTGGGCTCCCGGGAGGAAGCAGAGGCGGCACCAGGGAGCTGCGGGCAGGAGCCTGGAACCCGAGGCCCCGCGGTCTGGGCTTGGGAACGCCCCAGGAGCTGACGGCCAATGTGGGTGCGAGGCCGGACAGCACGAGGGGCAGGGCCGTGTGGGCACCATGCCCCCCGCCCCCGCCTCTGGGGCTGCAGGGAGCCTGAGCCGGTCCGTCCCTGGCACTGGCCGTCCCTGGGGGCCCCTCGGACAGGTGCTGACCTGCACACTGGCCGCTCTCCTTCGTGTAGCCGGCGATGCACTCCTTGCACTGTCCCGGGCCCTTTCCCGTGCAGCCCACACAGGTGGGGTCACATTCTGGAAACAGGAGGAGAGACCGTGAGTGACAGCAGCCGCCCGCCTCCGGGGCAGCCGGGTCTGAACCCCAGAGCCGAGAGCAGGGGCCACATCTGCCGTGCGGGGCTGGCAGGCGCTCTGCACACACACACACACCCCCGCCCCCCCGTCTCCCGCAAAGGACGGGCGAGGGGATCTATGCCGATGGGCCTGGAGCTCAGGCCCAGAGGACAGAACGGGACCCGGGGCAGTGATCTCCACACAACCTCGGGCTCTCGGCTCGCCTGCCGGGAGCCCCTCTCGGGCAGCAGGGCTGACGGTCCCTCCGACAGGGACAGGCAGCCTCCCCCGGCCCAGCCTCAGCCCCCCGTCCCTGACGGAGCACTCTGGGAAGTGGCCCCACCGCAGGGGGAGCGTGAGAGCTATCAGTGGGGTCTACAGCGGGCAGCTGGGCAGTGACGGCCACGTCGGCCGAGGCAGGGGGTGACTGACGCGGAGATGGTCCCACCGCAGCCCGTGCCCCACAGGAGGCCGTGGGACTCCCTCTCTGTGGAACGCCTTCTGGAACCTTCCTGGACTGCCCCCCGCCCCCCGGCTTGTAAAGGAGGAGGAGCGCAGGGGCTGAGAACTGGAGCGCAGAGGAGCGGTCAGAGGAGGCGGCCGCCTCACCTTCGCACTGGAAGGAGCCGCCCACGTTCTGGCAGAACTGCTGCTCGCTGCAGGGGGGCGTCTCCGCCGCACACTCGTCCACGTCTGCAACCGACACGCCGTGAGCCAGGGCCTCCCGCTGTGGGCAGTGGAGCCCCAGGCGGTGGGAGGGCAGACCCTGCCCCGGGCAGTGGAAGGGCAGACACCCCCGCCCCCCCCCGGGCAGTGGGAGGGGAGAGCCGGGCGGTGGGAGGGCAGAGCTGGGCAGTGGGAGGGCAGACCCCCCCCCCCGGGCAGTGGGAGGGGAGAGCCGGGTGGTGGGAGGGCAGAGCCAGGCAGTGGGAGGGGAGAGCCGGGCGGTGGGAGGGCAGACCCCCCCCTGGGCAGAGCCGGGCGGTGGGAGGACAGACGTCCCCCCCCCAGTGGGAGAGCAGACCCTCCCGGGCAGTGGGAGGGCAGAGTCGGGCAGTGGGAGGGCAGAGCCGGGCGGTGGGAGGGCAGACCCCCCCCCGGGCAGTGGGAGGGCAGAGCCGGGCGGTGGGAGGGCAGACGTCCCCCGCCAGTGGGAGAGCAGACCCCCTCGGGCGGTGGGAGGGCAGACCCCCCCCCGGGCAGTGGGAGGGCAGACCCCCCCGGGCAGTGGGAGGGCAGCCCCCCCCGGGCAGTGGGAGGGCAGAGCCGGGCGGTGGGAGGGCAGACCCCCCCCCCGGGCAGTGGGAGGGCAGAGCTGGGCGGTGGGAGGGCAGACGTCCCCCCCCAGTGGGAGAGCAGACCCCCTCGGGCGGTGGGAGGGCAGACCCCCCCCCGGGCAGTGGGAGGGCAGCCCCCCTCGGGCAGTGGGAGGGCAGCCCCCCCCGGGCAGTGGGAGGGCAGAGCCGGGCAGTGGGAGGGCAGGTGGGGAGGGCAGGGCGGCCAGCAGCCTCACCCACGCAGGCGCCGTCCTCCTGGGCCCAGCCGGCCTGGCACTGGGTGCAGTCTCTGCTGGTGGGGCCGGTGCACAGCTTGCAGGACTCGTGGCAGGCTGGAGGGCAGGGGGTGCCGTCAGGAGGGGACCAGGTGGCTTCCTGCACGCCAGGGTCTCCCTCCGAGGAGGACACGGCTGACACGCCGCCAGCGTGGATTACAGCCGCCCAGCAGCCAGCCGGCGTGCTGCCGAGAGGGCGCCCGCCCTCGGCACGAGGGGTCCGTGGGGCCGAGCACAGCGGAGGGTCCGCCTGCCTGTAAGCACTGAGGGGCCCAGGTAACGGCCCGGAGGCCCCCTCCGGCACCCGTGAGCGGATGGCGTTCCTCGCCGAGGGACCTGGACCCGGAGGTCCTCCATGCGGCCCCAGCCCTCCCGCCGGCTCCTCAGCGACACGGCGGGGCTCGGCCTGAGTGACAGCGCCCCCCCGCTCTCCCCCGGCCTCTGCACCCCACGCCCCGTGCCCTGGGCCACTCAGCAGGGACCCAGGGCGCAGGGGGCAGGCCCTGCACTAGAACACGCCAGGCGCCCGCCGGTCACGAGCAAAGACCCTGTGGAGCCACAGAACTGCCCCCGAGCTGCCCCCGGGGGTCAGGGGGAAAGGGACACTTTTCTCGGGGTCGTGTAGGGACAGGAAGTGCGACCCCCGGCGCCGGGGCGGGCGGTACCTGTGCAGACGCTGTGCGTCTCGTTCCGCAGGGCGCTGAAGTAGCCGTCCATGCAGTCGGTGCACAGGGCCCCGCGGTAGCCCAGGTGGCACTGGCAGGACCCGTCGCCCTCCCGGCTGCCGTCTCCGCTGCAGCGCCCGTTCCCACTGCAGGGCCGCTCGGACCCGCCCTGGCACGCTGTGGGACAGAGCCATCAGGGCACGCAGAGGCACCAGGGCACACTCTCTCAGAGCCAGTGCCACGTCAAGCTCGGAGCAGCCTCCTGCCAAGACCCAGGAGCCGCCTGGGCACCACGGCCTGAGTGTGGAGAGGGCGTGGGGCAGCCTCACTGCGGCTCAGCACGAGGAGGCTGAGGTCGGGGGCAGGCGTGGAGCCGAGGACAGCTAGACCGGCCGGAGGAGGCCACTCGCCACCAGAAGCGGGAAAGGCAGGCGGGGGTGGCTCCGGTCAGCGAGGGCCTGACCGTGAACACCGCGCCGCACTGCCCGCCGGCCACGTGAGTGACGTGGGTGATGCCGACCGGGGGGCTCAGCCCTGACCCACCGAGGCACAGCCGCCCACGGCCGCGCCCTCAGACGCCTCTGCTGTGCGGAGAGCTGGCCGGGCCACGGAGCCGCCTTCCATGCGTGCCGGCCCCGGCAGGGCCAGTGGAACCCTCCGGTGGGCTCGGAGGAGGCAGCGCCCAGGTCCCGCCCCGGGATCGCCGTGGTAACTCGGGGTCTCGCCAGGAGCCGTACCGAGGCAGTCGGGGCCATAGGTGCCCGGAGAACAGCAAACTTTCAGCGTTTTCACACAAAACCACTCAAACAAGTCAGGGTGCTCCTTCTTCCTGGGGAGTTAAGAGGGTCCGTTAAGCCTCACACGCGTGTCTCAGAGAAAACCCCAGGTCACCGCGAACACGCTCCGGCCTCTCGCAACCCGAGGACACAGCGGGCCACCCTCCCGTCCCCGCCGGGTCGCGGGGTCCCGGCCGGGGGTGGGAAGCCGGGCTGCGGACGCCCTCTGACCGGCCGCCGAACTCCCGAGGGTGGCGTGACTTCAGAGTCACCGAAAAGGAAGCGTGTGGCTCCGTGGCCGAGGCGGACACTCACAGCCGCAGCCACCAGGCCTCCAGCTGCTCCTCGTGCTCCTCCACCAGGCGGTTGCACTCGAAGTCGCTGCTCCCGCACAGGCCCTCCACGATCTCCAGCAGGCGGACCTCGCTGCAAGGGAGTGCCGGCACCCGGTCAGGCCAGCCCGGCACCCGCCAGCCCGGCACCATCAGCCCGGCACCCGTCAGCCCAGAACCCAACAGCCCGGCACCCAGTCAGGTCAGCCCGGCACCCGCCAGCCCGGCACCCGGACAGGTCAGCCCGGCACCCGCCAGCCCGGCACCTGCCAGCCCGGCACCCGTCAGCCCGGCACCCGTTAGCCCAGAACCCAACAGCCCGGCACCCAGTCAGGTCAGCCCGGCACCCGCCAGCCCGGCACCATCAGCCCGGCACCCGCCAGCCCGGCACCCGCCAGCCCGGCACCCGTCAGCCCGGCACCCATCAGCCCGGCACCCATCAGCCCGGCACCCGCCAGCCCGGCACCCATCAGCCTGGCACCCATCAGCCTGGCACCCATCAGCCCGGCACCCATCAGCCCGGCACCCATCAGCCCGCCACTCGGTCAGGTCAGCCCAGCACCCGCCAGCCCGGCACCCGTCAGCCCAGCACCCGTCAGCCCGGCACCCGTCAGCCCGGCACCCGTCAGCCCAGCACCCGCCAGCCCAGCACCCGCCAGCCCAGCACCCATCAGCCCGGCACCCATCAGCCCGGCACCCATCAGCCCGGCACCCATCAGCCCCAGCACCCATCAGCCCCAGCACCCATCAGCCCGGCACTCGGTCAGGTCAGCCCGGCACCCGCCAGCCCGGCACCCGCCAGCCCGGCACCATCAGCCCGGCACCCATCAGCCCGGCACCCGCCAGCCCGGCACCATCAGCCCGGCACCCGTCAGCCCAGAACCCAACAGCCCGGCACCCAGTCAGGTCAGCCCGGCACCCGCCAGCCCGGCACCATCAGCCCGGCACCCGCCAGCCCGACACCCATCAGCCTGGCACCCATCAGCCTGGCACCCATCAGCCCGGCACCCATCAGCCCGGCACCCATCAGCCCGGCACCCATCAGCCCGCCACTCGGTCAGGTCAGCCCGGCACCTGCCAGCCCGGCACCCATCAGCCCGGCACCCATCAGCCCGGCACCCATCAGCCCGCCACTCGGTCAGGTCAGCCCGGCACCTGCCAGCCCGGCACCCATCAGCCCGGCACCCATCAGCCCGGCACCCGTCAGCCCGGCACCCGTCAGCCCGGCACCTGTCAGCCCGGCACCCGCCAGCCCAGCACCCATCAGCCCCAGCACCCATCAGCCCCAGCACCCATCAGCCCGGCACTCGGTCAGGTCAGCCCGGCACCTGCCAGCCCGGCACCTGCCAGCCCGGCACCATCAGCCCGGCACCCATCAGCCCGGCACCCGCCAGCCCGGCACCATCAGCCCCAGCACCCATCAGCCCGGCACTCGGTCAGGTCAGCCCGGCACCCATCAGCCCGGCACTCGGTCAGGTCAGCCTGGCACCCGTCAGCCCAGCACCCGTCAGCCCTCCTACAGGGAGGTGCTGAGGCCCCACCAGGGGCCCCGCGGGGTGCTATGCAGAGGACTGAACTGGAGGGGGGGGTGTCAGGGAGGCCTCTCCTTCAGGGTGATGGGCAGTCAGGGGGTCCCCGGGGAACCTGGAGCTGGGGTGGGAGCTCTGGCAGAGGGGCGGCCAGCGCTGACAGCTCGTGGGATGGACTCTGTCCCCGCGCCTGGCAGAGGCCAGCGTGTCTGCCGTGAGGACGGGAGCCACAGGGCCTGCGGCGGCCAGGGGTCAGCTCCGCCGGAGCAGTGACCGCGCTGCAGGGACCCCGCACGCCGCCAGGGGGCGCCGCGCCCAGGACAGCGGCGCTCGGAGCGGGCACCCACCTGGACTCGTACTTGGACAGCGACTTCTCCTCCCAGGCCGTGTTCCCGCCGCCGAAGTTCTTCTTGGCCGTGTCCACCATTCCCTGCGGGGGCGCGGCTCAGGCTCCCGTCCCGGGCCCTGTGCACCGCGGGGGTGGCCCGGGCCACCTGGGGGTAACCTGGGCCCATCTGGGGGGTAACCTGGGCCCATCTGGGGGTAACCTGGGCCCATCTGGGGGGTGACCTGGGCCCATCTGGGGGTAACCTGGGCCCATCTGGGGGTAACCTGAGCCCAGGAAGGGGTGTCCCCGGCCCATGTGGGGGGGCCCGGCCCAGGAAGGGGTGTCCCCGGCCCATGAAGGGGTGTCCCGGCCCATGTGGGGTGTCCCGGCCCAGGAAGGGTGTCCCCGACCCATGTGGGGGGGGCTGGCCCAGGAAGGGGTGTCCCCGGCCCATGTGGGGGGGGCTGGCCCAGGAAGGGGTGTCCCCGACCCATGTGGGGGGGGGCTGGCCCAGGAAGGGGTGTCCCCGGCCCATGTGGGGGGGGGGGGGCTGGCCCAGGAAGGGGTGTCCCCGGCCCATGTGGGGTGTCCCGGCCCATGGCGGGGGGCCCGGCACATGGCGGGTTCCCGGTCCCTCGGGTCGGGGGGCCGGGGTAGAGGAGGGGGCGGCCCACCTGGTTGAACTTGTCCACCAGCTCCCGGCAGCGCCTGCAGGGCGTCGGCTTCGGGGAGGCCTCGCGGGGCAGCCCCAGCAGCAGCCCCAGCAGCAGCCCCGGCAGCAGCCCCAGCGCGGCCCGGGCCGGGGGGCGCATGGCGGCCGAGGGCAGCGGCCGAGAGGGAAACGGCGCTCCGGCTCCGCCGCCCACCGGCTCCGCGGTTCCCGGGCTACTTGACGGCGCCGGGCTGGGCCCGCCCCCCGCCAGCCCGCGCCGCGCCATTGGCCGGGAGCGGCCTCCGTCCGCATGTGGCCCAATCAGAGCTCGCCACGAGATGGCCAATAGGAAGGCCCCGGGTCAGCGTCCTCGGGGACCGCCCCGGCGCCATCTTTACTCCGGGCGGACGGGGCGCCCGCGGCGCCGGCCGGGCCCGGCGGCCATATTGGAGTCGGGCAAGGGCTCCCCCGCCCGCTCCCCCGCCCACTCCCCGGCTTCCGCCGCCCCGTTCCGCCGGGAGGGCCGGCCGCGCTCCGGGACGCGGGGGGCAGCGGGGTCCGAGCCGAAGCTCCCGCGGCCTCCGCGCGTGTCCACGTGGGACGCCGCCGGCCTCCTCCCTCCTCCGCGGCCCGGAACCCGCATTCCCCCGGCGCCCCCGTCCCCCCCGGAGCCGCCGCGGAGGCCCCGAGGGGCGCGGGCGCTGCCGCCCGATGGCGGGGAAGAGGCCGCGGGACGCGGGCCGCCAGCGCCGGCTGCTGGGGCTGCTGGTGGCCGTGGCCGCCGCGCACCTGGCCGCCTGCCCCTACACCAAGGTGGAGGAGAGCTTCAGCCTGCAGGCGGCGCACGACCTGCTCTACCACCGGCTGGACGTGCAGCAGGTGAGGCCGGCCTACCCTCGCCGCTGACCCTGACCCGGACCCTGAACCCCTTTTCCTGACCCCCCCGCTGCTGACCCTGACCCCCCTCCGCTGACCCTGTCCCTGACCCTGAACCCCCTCCGCTGACCCTGACCCTGACCCCCCGCCGCTGACCTGACCCTGACCCCCCGCTGCTGACCCTGACCCTGACCCCCCGCCGCTGACCCTGACCCCCCGCCGCTGACCCTGACCCCCCCGCCGCTGACCTGACCCTGACCCCCCGCTGCTGACCCTGACCCTGACCCCCCGCCGCTGACCCTGACCCCCCATCGCTGACCCTGACCCTGACCCCCCACTGCTGACCCTGACCCTGACCCCCTGACCCTGACCCCCCGCCGCTGACCCTGACCCCCCCGCCGCTGACCCTGACCCCCCGCCGCTGACCCTGACCCTGACCCCCCACTGCTGACCCTGACCCTGACCCCCTGACCCTGACCCCCTGCCACTGGCCCTGACCCTGACCCCCCGCCGCTGGCCCTGACCCCTTGCCACTGGCCCTGACCCCCCCCCTCCTGCTGCAACCCTGACCCCCCACCCCTGACCCTGACCCCCTGCCGTTGACCCTGACCCTGACCCCCCGCCGCTGACCCTGACCCTGACCCCCCGCCGCTGACCCTGACCCCGTTCCCCGCAGTATGACCACCTGGAGTTCCCGGGCGTGGTGCCCCGGACGTTCCTGGGGCCGCTGGTCCTCGCCGCGCTGTCCAGCCCCGTGGTGTGCGTGCTCTCTCTGCTGGGCTCGTCCAAGTTCTACTCTCAGCTGACAGGTAAGGGCCGCCCGGGACCGGGGCCAGGCCAGCCGGAGGCCGCCCCGCTGGGTCCACCTGGGCCCGGCCGCCCCCGGCCACGCAGCAGGCGCTTCAGAGCACCGGGCGAGGTCGGACGTCGGCCCTCTCCGGGTGCGACCGGGACAGGGAGCCCAGCCGAGCGCCCCTCGCGACTGCGCCGTGTGGTTGTCTGCCCCTTCCCGCCTGCCAGAGGCTGCGGTGCGAGCCTGGTGGGTTTGCCTCTGCCCCGAGCTCTGCAGCCTCCGTTCCGCCAGGAGCACCCTCGTCCAGTCCAAACCCGGACCGTGTTCACGTTCCCCCATGGACGCAAGCACGTCCTCACGGCACATTGGCCGGACCCCGGAGCCAGGTCCCTGAGGGGCCAGGACCCCGAGAGGCCAGGTCCCCGAAGGGCCAGGTCCCTGAGGGGCCAGGACCCCGAGGGGCAGGACCCCGAGGGGCCAGGTCCCCGAGGGGCCAGGACCCCGAGGGGCCAGGACCCCGAGAGGCCAGGGCCCCGAAGGGCCAGGACCCCGAGGGGCCAGGACCCCGAGAGGCCAGGTCCCCGAAGGGCCAGGTCCCTGAGGGGCCAGGACCCCGAGAGGCCAGGTCCCCGAAGGGCCAGGTCCCTGAGGGGCAGGACCCCGAGGGGCAGGTCCCCGAGGAGCCAGGTCCCCGAGGAGCCAGGACCCCGAGGGGCCAGGTCCCTGAGGGGCAGGACCCCGAAGGACAGGACCCCGAGGAGCCAGGACCCCGAGGAGCCAGGACCCCGAGGGGCCAGGTCCCCGAGGGCCAGGACCCCGAGGGGCAGGTCCCCGAGGAGCAGGTCCCCGAGGGGCAGCCGCTGGGCTCTCCGGAGGCAGCCTGGGAGGCCGCAGCCTGCAGTCCCACCGGCAGCCAGACATGCGCTGGCCCCTGGGGCACCTGGGACCTTCTGAGCATGCGGCACTGGAGGTGTCCCGGCTGGTGGGGGCTCCTGGTGCCAGTTTTGGGCGCGGCACCCTGGTACAGACCCTGCCCGCCCTGCCCGCGTCTCAGTCACAGCGAGCCTCGGGCCGGGGCCAGGGGCCAGGCCATCTGTTCCCCACGTGCAGTCATGTCTAACATAAGGCGACCAGACGGCCCGCTTTTGGTGGGCAGTCCCGATTTTTGGAAAGATTGGTGGGGCAGTCCCGATTTTTAACAATTTGTCCCGCGTCCCGTGGCGGTTTAAAAAAGTCCCGATTTTAAAGACTGGGACATCTGTCACCTTAGTAACACCAGAGACCCTCCCTCCGGTTGTTGCCCTGTCAGCATCCCTGACCGACCATGTCAGCATCCAAGACCGCGTGGCCGGTCACACGCCTGTCTCCTCTGCCCAGTCAGAGCCGTCCTTGGACTCGGGGTGATGTTTGGACTCTGGACTTGGCAGAAGGAAGTGCGACGGCACTTCGGGGCCACGGTGGCCTCCCTGTTCTGCTGGATGACGGCCTCGCAGTTCCACCTGATGTTCTACTGCACGCGGACGCTGCCCAACGTGCTGGCGCTGCCCGTGGGTACGTAGCTGACACCGCCAGGCCCCGATGGCTCCCACGCCTCTCGCTGGGCTCGGGCACACCTGTGGGTGACAGGTGAGTGTCCGCTGAGGAGCGCCTGCCAGGCGATCACTGCTCCCTGTGGGCGTTAGTGATGGACACCCAGGGACGGGACAGCCCAGTGAGGGGACAGTGACAGGACAGCCCGGTGAGGGGACGGGACAGCCCTGTGAGGGGACGGGACAGCCTGGTGAGGGGACAGCCCAGTAGGGGACAGCCCTGTGAGGGGACGGGACAGCCTGGTGAGCGGACAGCCCGGTGAGGGGACAGCCTTGTGAGGGGACAGTGACAGGACAGGGACAGGACAGTCGGGAGGGCAGTGGCGCCTGCTCTCAGCTGGTGGCGGTGCACTTCCAGGAGAGGGCGCACCTGGGACGGCTCCCTGTGCAGGGACTGGGGCAGATGGCAGCTCGCTCTGGGTGTTCTGGCGACGCCCCAGGCAGATTGGGGGGCCACAGGAGGCCATGGAAGCGTGGGTTTGGGGGTCTGTGCTGACCCGGTAGAGTGGCCTGGCCCTGGGGAGTGGTCCTTGGTTGAACACGCGGGGAGGTGGTGAGCAGGGCACCATTCCCGTGAACCTCGGGCGGAGCCTGCAGCAGGACGTGCTGAGCGCAGCAGGATGGAGTGGAGGACGGGAGGATGGGAGGACGGCCGCGGGGGGCGCTGCACACGCAGCCCCAGGCTCTGGAGACACCCTGAGGTCCGGGCTGTGAGGCGGTGCAGGATGCGGGGTTGGGGCAGGGGCAGGGGCATGGGCAGGAGGTTTGGGGGGCCCGGCCTGCAGGGGGCCTGGTCCTGAGCCGTGTCTGCTGCCTCTGGTCTGCGTGGCTCTCACACGAGGGTAACGGCTGCTCTTGGGCCCACAGTGCTGCTGGCCCTGACGGCCTGGCTGCAGCAGCGCTGGGCCCGCTTCATCTGGCTCTCGGCACTCGCCATCCTGGTCTTCCGGGCCGAGCTGAGCCTGCTCCTGGGCCTCGTGCTGCTGCTGCTGCTCTGCACCCGGCGGCTGTCCGTGGCCAGGGCCCTGCGCCACGCCGTGCCCGCCGGCCTGCTCTGCCTCGGTGAGTGGGGAGCCGCCTCTGCCCCGACTTGCTCTCGCTTCAGAAACGAAGAAGTTGGGAGGGCTGGGCTTTGTCACTAAACGAGACTCCTTTGAAACCTGAGCAGCATCAGAAAGCCCTTGCCACGCTGCCTGGGCACCCCTAAGGCGCTCCCCTCCCGCTGCGCCCAGGTCATGTGGCCACAGGAAGTTCCCTGGAGGACCAAGGCCCCGCCCCAGTGGGCCCGGGGCCTGGCACACGGGCTGCCCTCCCCCCGCAGCCTGGCCGCCCGCTGAGCCCTGCCCTCCCCCCGCAGCCTGGCTGCCGGCTGAGCCCGGCGCTGTCCTGAGGAGCCCGTTGCTTTGCCAGGACTGACGGTGGCTGTGGACTCTTGGTTTTGGCGCTACCTCGTGTGGCCGGAAGGCACCGTGCTCTGGTACAACACCGTCCAGAACAAGAGCTCCAACTGGGGCGTATCCTTTACCTGTCGCTGTGGGACGGCCCGTGGGGCAGGGTGCTGCGGCCAGGGCCTCGCTCAGGCCAGGCGAGGGGCCGTCTCACCCGACGGGGCACCTGAGGAGGGTGTGGCAGCACCTGCAGCACCAGCGCCGGCACCTCCACCCTGTCCGCCCAGGAGGCCCTCAGGGGGCTGGGTCTGCTCCGGGCTCCCCGCCCTGGGGAAACCACCTGCGTTCAGCCCCAGCTTCCCCCTCAGCCCTGCGACTCTGCTCCCTGGTGCTTCGCTGTGGGATCTGAACCCACAGGAAGAACAACGGCCGAGTCCCCAGCGCACCCATCACCCGGACAGTGGTTTCCACGGAGGAGAAGGACGGGAGGGGAGGTCCCACAGCCTGGTCACCGTGCCCTGGACGTGGTGCTGCTGCCCAGGCCCAGGCCTGGCCTCGTCCCCGAGGGAAGGGGACCCCGTGGTGACCTGGGGCCCAGGGCTGCAGGCGCCCCAGACAGACACCTGTCCGGGCTGTGTCTCCTGTGCTGCTGGCTGAACCCGGCTGACGGGGCGCGTGGCCGTCGCTGACACGTGGCCTCCTTGACCTCCCACGCAGACCTCCCCGCTGCTGTGGTACTTCTACTCGGCTCTGCCGCGGGGCCTGGGCAGCAGCCTGCTGTTCGTGCCACTGGGCCTCGTGGACAGGAGGGCCTGGGCGCTGCTCCTGCCGGCACTGGGGTTCGTGGCCCTGTACTCGCTGCTCCCCCACAAGGAGCTGCGCTTCGTCATCTACACCTTCCCCCTGCTGAACGCCGTGGCCGCCCGGGGCTGCGCCCGCCTGTGAGTGCCCACGGGCTCCGGCCACGGCCGCCGAGGCTCAGAGGGAAACGGCAGCCTGCTCTGCCCAGCAGCCTTTGGGCCACGCACTGACCAGTGGCGCTGCTCGGTCCGTCTGTCTGGTTAACCCGGACGCGTGTCCCAGGCCTGTCTGCCGGGCTGTGCTAAGTGTCCAGACTCAGCCACGCGGGCGCAGGAGAGCGCGGCCAGGCAGGGAGGGTGTGAGGCGGGTCCGGTGAAGGCGATGCTCAGAGCGGCAGGCTGGCCGGCCTCCGGGCTGAGAAAGGGGCCCCGGTTCATCGGGTCCCAGCCAGCCCCTTGTGAGCGTGGAGTCCTCCGTGGCGCCCTGCAGTGGTGGGGAGGGTTCCACGCACTGAACTCACCCTCCCTGACCAATAGTCCGGCGTGGGGGGCAGAGCAGGTGGGTGAGGACTGGAGAGGGTCAAGCTGTGTGTCTGGAAGGAGGCAGCGGGGCACTGGGCCCCCCCCCCCATCTCCTGGATAGGGACCCAGGGACCAGGGGGAAGGTGTGGGTGGTAGGTTTGCATCTCAAAAGGCAGAAACAGGACTCAGACTCGCAGCTCTGCAGTCACTGCCGGTGAGCGGCCCAGGGCCCCGTCCCCCCAGGCTGGGCTGGAACCGTGAAGACGGTGCGGTGACACGGTTCACAGCAACTGCAGGCCGCTCGGCCAGCGCCTGGTGAGAAAGGCTGGGCAGGGCCCCCTGAGGTGACTCCGGCCGGCACATCTGACGGCCCAGGCGACAGTGTTCTCCGTGGCTCAGGTCCCTGTGGCCTCTGCCCGCCATGCCCGCCGGCTCCCTTACAGGCCACGTGGCATTCAGTGTTTGGCCTCGGGCTGTGCTCGAATCTAAGTCCTAACTCGGGGTGCTTCGCATTCTGATGGCGATTTTAGTTTGTCATTTTGGGTGGAATTTCAGAGAGAAAAGCTGCAGCTTCCGTTAGTAATTCCTGTACCTACCTGGGGATTAACTCGTTAGGGCTCAGCGGAGGGGACGCCAGGTTCACCCTCGTGGTGACGTTCCTCCACCCGCTGCTGTCACTCACTCCACCACGCCCTCTGCAGGCTGAACAACGGCAGGAAGTCCTGGCTGCACCGAGCAGGCTCCCTCCTCGTGCTGGGGCACCTGGTGCTGAACGCCGCCCACTCGGCCACGGCCCTGTACGTGTCCCACTTCAACTACCCCGGCGGCGTGGCCATGCAGCGGCTGCACGAGCTGGTGCCGCCCCAGGCAGGTGGGTGCCCGGCCCTCGGGACCCGCTGTGGCCCGGGTGGGGGCGGCCGGCCCGGCTCTAACCACACCGTCTTCCCCAGACGTCGTCCTGCACATCGACGTGGCTGCTGCCCAGACGGGCGTGTCTCGGTTCTTGGAGGTCAACGGCGGCTGGAGGTCTGTTCTCCGTGGGTGATGGCGGTGGGGACGCGGGTGGGCCGGTGTGGGGCCGCGCCCAGTGCACCGTTCTGTCTTCAGATACGAGAAGAGGGAGGACGTGCAGCCCGGGTCGGAGCACATGCTGGCCTACACGCACCTGCTCATGGAGGCGGCCCCGGGGCCCCTGGCCCTCTACCGGGACACACACCGGGTGCTGGCCAGCGTCGTGGGCACCACGGGGGTCAGTCTGAACCTGACCACGCTGCCTCCCTTCAGCGTCAACCTGCAGACAAAGCTGGTGCTTCTGGAGAGACGGCTCGGGCCCTCCTGAGGGAACGCCCAGCGCCCGACAAGAACAGCACAGGCACAGCCACACGCACCCTCCGCCACCCGGAGGGCCCCACGTGGGCACTGCGCACGGAGCGGTGGCCACAGCGCTGGCTGCCCTCCGCCACCCCTGAGGAGGGCCCCACGTGGCCACAGCGCTGGCTGCCCTGGAAGCTGCTTTGGGGCCGGAGCACCTAAGTGCAGCCGGGGAGGTTGCGTGTCTGTAGCTGAGACGGAGCCTCTGCACCTGCTGGATGGGGTGCCCCCTTAATCCCACCGACCCAGGTTCCAGCGCGAGGATACTTCAGACATACACGTTCAAGGAGAATGAGAATTAAAGTTTGTACATCTCCTTCTTAACAGTCTTACATGTGATGTTTCCGGAGAGTGCCTTCCCCAAGGTTTTATTTTTTATTAAAAAAAAAAAATATATATATATATACACACACACATATATACATGCAGGAGGCAGCCGATCAGTAATTCTCACCCTTTCTCTATAATAGAAGCATCAACCAAATTAACGATCAACTATGACAGATCAAAACACGTGTTTGCAACTGGCACCAGTGAGAGCTTTATATGTATATATGTGTGAGTCAATTTAGCCTTTTATATATATAGAATAAACTTGCTTAATTAGACCTGCTATCTGATTTAGCCAAACTTTTTCCAGCCCAGTGAAGCACCCTAACTTCTCTTTTAGGTAATTGTTAGCAACACATCAGTAAATATCAACACAAAGCAGGTTATTATTGTAGATCATGCAGAAAAAACAAAGGGTAAACCATTTAACTGCAGCAGTGTCTGACTATATTCTGCGCAGTGAGAAAACCTGAATCATTTCTAGGTCCACCATTTCTTACTTTTCAGTAGGGTCAAGTATCTGAACTTTCTAAATCTTCGTTTTCCAGCTAATGAAAAGAGAATAGGATTCACCCAAGTCTCCTATCTACCTACTACAGGACTTCTGTGAAGATCAAATGAGATGAGGCACAGGAAAATGCTTCACAAACATTTGGTTAGTGTGAAATGTTTGCACCTGGCTATAAATCAAGTTGTATTCCTGGGCTGAAGAAACTCCAAGGAGGCTGGTCACTACGGAGAGGAAGCCAGGCATTGCTACGTGACACCCAGTGCTCACAGCCACCGTTTCCGGGCTGGGCTGGGCTGTGGGCCACATTTTGCACCATGGCAGCTTCGGCTGCAATTTGGTGGGTTGTTGCTCTGGGGTGGTGGCAAGGCCTGTGTCCCACTTGGGGGAAGCTGAGTGTTGCTTTGTCAGCACCAAGTCCACAATACCGTTTCTCTGTAAATGGCTGGAGCACGTCACAGCAGTTCCTGCATTGAACATCTGCCCCCTGGTGCTAAGTGCACGTCATAGCGATTGGTCAGACACTTAGCATATTGGCCTTTTATATATATAGATTTATATATATATATATATAGATTTATGCTTTACTGAACCACATTTATTAACTAGCCAAAGTATGTCTGACATCGAAGTTAATATAAAGAATGGGGTGTCACTGCACATGTGTGCACACACATACACATGCACATACGTACAACTCAAGTGCATAAAGACAAGCTATCATCTGAGCATTCGAGAGTGAGTTGCCTACCGCGAGGCCTGGACCCGACTACCCCCATGTGTCCAGGAAAGGTACTGCAGTCACTGTTTGCTCCACAGCAGCTGACTGGAAGCCTTCAGACCAGGACCTCCTGCAGCTGTGCCACACATGGCGCCTGCTGGCCGCATCTGCAGGGCCTCCACCTCTGCCAGTCAGCATTGGGCACTGTGTGTGAGTCCTTGCCCATTTATCAGTACTTATTTATCTATGATTGGCATTTGTCACTCATGGATAATTTCTCAGCATTCAAATATGTGTCAGTTATTGGCATGTGTGTCCGAGTTGTTGCTGGGCCTGATGGTCTGAGAGTCACCCCATCTACTCATCTCGTGTTCAGATTGTGCAGGATTCACTCCATGGGCCGTCAGGCTATCCCATGCCCCATCACAGTAACTTCTGGAGCACTGTCCTATTTCATGGCATAAGGTGTGCATTCTGGCTCTTCTAGGCCCCTGTCTACATTCTGGAACCATCCATTTCTCTGAGGGCACCATTTGGCAGGAAGTGGTTTTAGAAACCAAGATCTGGTACAAAATGAGCTCACTGCTATGGGGAGGTCTGCTTCTAGGTCCCTTCTGTGGATGGACTAGGCAGGCCAGGGTGCTGTGCGTGCACAACCAAGGTACGTGCTCTTGACCGGAATCGAACCCGGGACCCTTCAGTCCGCAGGCCAATGCTCCATGCACTGAGCCAAACTGGTTTCGGCACCAACGTTTTATTAACATATAACAGCATTCATTCACTGAGATGAGACAGTTCCCAAGACTAAGAGCTTTTTATTAGGAGTGACCAGAGAAGGGCCTCTGGCCCAGATATCACCTACAGCAGGGAAGGGAGCGGCTTGGTACTCGGGTCTGAGCGAGCTATAGCGGGATGGCCAAGAGCAGTCCCATTTTCAGTTGCATTCCTCTATAGCAGTGTTTCCCAAAGTGTGGTACGCATACCCACAAGGGTACGGGAAGAGTTTGGTGGGGGTAAGCGCTGCACCGGAGTTTGGTGGGGATAGGCACTGCACCGTGCTTAGCTGAGCCTAATTCTACATTCTCATGAGTACGAGGGGTCCTCAGCGTTACGGAAATGATAGAAGAGGTACACATACGTCAGAAGTTTGGGAAACATGCTCTATAGGAAAACATCGGTATCAGGACCAGCTATGAGCAACACCAGACAGCTGTTAGCATTGGGCCTGTCCCAGCAGCCTGGTCAGCAGCACAGGAACACAGGTTTGACTGTTTCCGCAGCGCTCACAGGACCTGTTTCTAGTCAACATGAGCGAATGCGCAAAGAACTGCTGCCAGCCCATCACTTGAGGTCCATCCCTTGGACCATGTTCTCTGTCCTCTGAAGTGAGCAAGCTTGTCTTGTAACGGACCCAACGGCAAACATCCGGCTCTGTGGGCCTGTCTCCGTGACAACCATAGGAGCTGTCCGTACACGATGAACCCTCCCCTATAGTGGAAACCCAGGTGGAGCCATTGGAGCATGAGTACGAAAGGCAGACACATCAGTGCTTATCCCTGACATGAGCTTGGCAACCGAGACAAATGGTGCTCCGCATGCACAGAGCCTCATACGGTCCACAGGCTCCTGAGGGTCGGGGAGCCCTCGCTTGTGACTGGTGAACTGGAGGCACAGGAGCAGTTTACAGACCTGAACGACAGACCATCAGTCTGGCACCCGGTGTACAGACCCTTCAAGGAAACGTTTCCCATATCAAGTTCACCTGAGCACTCAAGAGCCAGGGCCCCCAGCCAGGAGCCACCCATGACCTCCACCTTGTGAGGCAGGGCTACCACCAGCCCAGATAAAAAGCAGAGGGACTCTTCCTTGAGGAAAGCTGTGAGTCCAACACTGAATCTCCAGGAAATTTGTTCTGGCCTTCTGGACTCACCTCCTGGATCTGGTTAGACCCAGCACAGGGAAGACTGATGACAGCCTGGATCTCAAACTGGTGAAGTCTTTACACGCAGTATTGCTTTGAGCACACATTTATAGGGATTCTCATGTAAGTTGTGGGGAAACCGCATGAGCATGGCTGACCAATTGGTGCTCCCGGAACAGAGGCTGGATTCGGGAATTTGCGCAGAGCATCCCGGGAGAGGCTACATGGACAAGGCAATTACGAGGCTGCCCACGGGCTCTTGTTTGGGCACTATGCATGGCACAGCTATCATTCTGAACACAAGTCAGCATCATCTCAGAAAACTGTTGGAAGGACCACTTCATCACCTCTCCTATGTCCTATCTGGGACTAAGGTACAAAATTCAAGGGCTGCATGAATGAGGTTTCCCTGTGCATTGGCACCCAAAGGATATTAATGCTTTATCATCCCAAGAAAAAGCCAGCTTACTCCAACAGTGGAAAATTGCAAATAAAAAGTTTAATTTCAGAAACTGAGTTCCCCATTTATAAATATACCAAAACATAGTCAATGCAAAGTGAGAATAATAACAGGTACAGTATTTTGAGGAAACAACTTTTCTAAAAGGGCACAGGCAATGAGTGACTTGTTTCACCCAGAATATTTAATTGGTATGAAATAAGAAAAGGGATCCTTTTCTACATGTTGAAGCAAAAACTGAGGACATACTGTTAAAAGAATCTGACAACTGGCATTTCATTCTGATGTCCCTGGGATTCTAAAATACCCGTGATGACTGAGTCTTCCGTATTGTCACCAAACACTGAAGGCTGCTCTTACAACTGTCATGTAACAGTCTTCTTCCCTGTTAACAAGTCACCTCCTCTAAAAAGAATTTTACACGTGATTTGACCAATGCGGGGGGGACTACACACATTTCAAAATAGAGACACTATTTTGAAGTCTATAGTTTCAAAGTAGAGACACTAAGTCAGAAGCTTGGAGGTTCAATCACCAGAACTGCTGTAAACGTTTGGACAACAGGTAGCAAGGAGCACGTTCTAAAGAGTCAGGATGTCTCCAATGTAACTGACCAGGTGAAACCTCAACACGAACACAACATGGGGAAGTTCTCACCAGCACTATGTGACTGACATTCCATGATACATTTAAGTTTAGTCTTGTTTTCAAATGCCACATCTCTGTTGTAGTGAACAGCATCTTCCACAATATTCTCTGCACTCCTCACATTACGTTAGAGATGCAGGTAAAAACCACTCAGTCAGGATGGCTCCTACTCCATCTATTTCCACATTTTATCTGACAGCCACAAAGGCTGCTTTGTTGCAATTAAAGTAATTTTTAACTAAAATACAGTACCTGATTTGTTGTTCTTACATAACTGGATAAAAAGCCTGTGGAATAAAACTGTTTACATCTTCTGTCTTTCTAGTAAAACAAATAACTAACCCCCAGCTTTTAAAAACAATTACAGTTATGGATTAAAACCTAAACACCATATCTCATAATTGACAAGACCGGCTATTTCTAGTGGCTTCAAAAAACACACACCGCGGTACCTGGCTTGAAGGACTAGGAGTAAGGCACATAGAGACATTACGGTGAGACTGCAAGAGAAACTCAGTGTGGACCTGAGAGTGCCTGGTCTGATGTCCTCCTTGGCACCGACTGGTGCCAACCAACAGCCCGTGACAAACAGCTGGTGCCTAAAGAGCAACAACATCTGTAGCCTAGTGGCTCCATTGTGATTTCAATACTGAAAATATATTAATGGAAGATTCACTTTCAAAAAGATAAGTTTTTCAAAATGTTCCATCATGAACCTGGACTGGCCAAAGCTACCGTTCTCAGTGGGAGTGCTGAACAGCCTTTCTGAAGGGACAATACTCGGGGGACAACCCAAAAACCTGACGGCCAAGGCGGAGAGTCCTGGCCAGGCAGACTTCTTTAGGTTCCAGTAGGTAAGCGGGTCACAGCTGTGTTCAAGCACCTCCTCCTCCAGGTAAGAAAGCACCATGGCCTCAGGAAGCTTCATCTTTTCTCTTGGGCCTTTCTTTTTTATCTTGGCCATGAGTGACCACAGGCTCTCGTCCACACTGCAGTCCGTCGATGGGGAGCCTGGAGCACACCCATTGGAGACAGGTATGTCCTCTGAGGTAGAATTCAGCATTTCTAGTTCCCTGATTAAATCCTGCTTGTACTGCTCTGCCTCCTCCTCGGAGAACAGGGAGGCTTTGTAACGAGGGTCCAACAGTGTAGCAAAGATGTACCTGGGATCGTGGAGGGTGGCGGACAGTCGGCTCACCATGGCTTCCTTCAGAGACTTCAGCATGGTGTCGATGCCCATGGTCTCCTCAAACAGCATCTCAATTTTCCTGTTCAGAATGTGGATCATGGGGATGACCTGGCTGAGGGTGGACATGTGGCTGCTCATCTCCCGGCTCGCAGCGTCAAAGGGCTTCAGCGCATGACACACAGACTTCATGACCTCCCACTGGTCGCAACTGATCAGTTCCCTGAAGTTACACTCGATGGACATCTCGTTAATGGCTCTCTTCTGCTCAATGAGCCGCTCGAGCATGTGGAACGACGTGTTCCATTTGGACGGGACATCCTGAATAAGATGGTGGGGCGGCAACTCATACTCCTTCTGCAGCTCTGCCAGCTTCTCTTTTGCTGCGTGGGAGCGCAGCACCCGCTCACATAGCTTCCGAGCGATGCTCAGCAAGTTCTGCACCATTCTCTGGCTTTTAATGGCCTCCTGGACAATGAGGTTCACCGTGTGACTGAAGCACTGCACGCTGGAGTGCTCCCCTTCATTCAGCGTCTTTCCTATGCTGGGATTGTCAGTCACTGTGATGCCAACCTGAAGGCCGGTGGAGGTCACCCAGGCCTCCCACCAACATTCCAGCTGCTTCTGAATGCTGTTGCCGCCATAGTCGCAGTCAATCTGTGACACGTCTAACAGTGCTGAGCAGTGGTGGTCCTCACAGTGAGGTCGGAACGACGACTCGAAGGAGACCCAGTGAGCAGTGAGTGTCAGGTACTCCCGGGTCTGGTTACTCATCCATATTCCAGACGTGAAGTGGACCACACCACTCTCAGCCTCCTTAAGGTGTGACATAATGATCTGTTTCACATTATCGTACATTCCGGGGATAGCTGTCCGGGAAAAGTAGGAAGGGGAGGGCAAAGAGTACTGAGGTTTCAAGTATTCGAGCAGCCTGTTAAAGCCAACATTATCAACAAAAGAATATGGCTGAAGGTCAAGTGCAATCATTTCAGCTATGAGACTTGTGATCTTTTTGGCAACTGGATGAGAATCATACAACTTCTCACCAGTGTCGTCAAAGGAGGAAGCTCCTGACAATTTTGCACTCAGGGGCACACTGCCGCCTGGAGAGGAGGGCAGCACGGTCTTGGGGCCGTCGGCCTTCAGCGCGCTGCCGTGGAACCTCTGCAGGTGCCGCAGGAGACAGCTGGTGCCCAGGTTAGTGGGCTTCTTGCCCCTGCTTATCGTCCGGCCACAGTGCAGGCACACGACTTTAGTGGGGTCTGCAGAGCAGACAGAAAAGTGATTCCACAGCTTGGAGGTCTTTTTGCTGTGAACGGGAAACAGAACTGGACTGCTTTTGGTAGCCACTGGTGGAAGGTCAGTTAATCTGGAGGAAGTTTCTGTGGATGCCAAGGTGTTGTACGGAGGATTTGCCAAACCAGCCTCCAGGAGGCCCTTTTGGTTCCCAACAACTTCTGGGTGGCGCCTGTAGAGATGTCTCATCAGACAGCTGGTGCCCACGTCACCCTTCTTTCCTCGACTGATGACGCAGGCGCAGTGTCTGCACACTGCCTTCAGACTGTCCGTGGGGGCGAGGGAAAAGTGATGCCAGACCTCCGACTTCAGTCTCTTCATCACCTTTTGGTTCTGTTGGAAGACAACACCAGATTCCCCCATGTGAGGGCTCGACCCATCACCCTGCTGCTTCTCCGGGGAGGACACCAACGAGGCCTCGCCCACATCATCAGAGGATGACAGCACTGATGCATCTTCCACTGGCGAATCCCCAGGCTTCAGATATGCTTGCAGTTGCTCAGTCAGCTGGTCAGGGGAGGAGGACACCGAGGGGAGCTCTTGAACTTCGTTGCCTGGCGATGAGGACACCAAGCTTGGATCTCTCTCAGGAGGCAGGAGGGCAGGCAGCAGTGTTGGGGGCGTGGAGTAGGGTGGGGGCATGGATGCTCCCCTGCTCTTCTCCTGCAGCACGATGGCGCGGTGTGCCCGCCACATGTGCCGGATGAGGCAGCTGGTGCCCAGGTCCTTCCCGTTTTTCCCTCTGCTGAACTCACTCATGCAGTGGATGCATACGGCCTTGGAGCTGTCCAGAGGCGACAGGTAGAAGTGCTTCCAGACCGCGGACCACCTACGCGACCCAGAGGTGCTCTTTGGAAGTGGGAGGCTCTTTTCTGGCCCGCTCTCTGCAGAGTCATCATGCTGGGGAGTGGGGAGGGCTTGGGGTGGCTCTACCAGGGCTTCTTCCTGCCTGTACTTCTCCGAGGTGGACACATCAGAGGAGACCTCTTCAGAAGATAGGGCAGATCCAGATTCCTCTGCCACCTGCTCAGAAGACGAGACACTGGAGGCTATTTTCTGGACAAGTTTGATGGGTGACAGTACGGTGCCCAGGTCTCCCAGGGGTATGGGCTGAGGAGGGAACACCAGTGCAGGGGAGGAGAGGGAGGCCAGGGTAGACACACTGCCTTCCTCCTGGATGAGTGCTGTGGGGTGCGCCCTCCTCACGTGCCGCATGAGACAGCTTGTGCTCAGGTCCTTCTCGTTTTTGCCGCGGCTGAACTCTTTCATGCAGTACACACACACTGCCTTTGTGCTGTCCCGAGGAGAGATGAAGAAATGTTTCCAGGCCGGAGACTTCTTCCTGGAGTTCATGCTGCGGCCGGACAGGAGGCTCTGCGTCACAGCTTCCATGGCAACATCGTACAGCGTGCTGCTGTACTGAGAGAATAGGGCCCCGTAGTCGTCCTCGTGGTCAGCGGGGAAACACTTCCCCGGGGGCTTACAGCTGTAGCTTGCTTCTCTGATCTCCGCCTGCTCATCACCACTGCCAGCTGCTTTCCTGTCCTCTTGTTCAATCTTAAATGCCACGCTTTCCAGACTGTGATTCGGAATTCCATCATTTCCCTCTTCTATTTTAAAATTTATCTTATCAGACACAAAGTCACCGTCCCCTGTGGGGGGATGGGCTTCCTGGTTCTTCGCCATGGCTCACCATAACTATTCTGGCTTTGTCATCTGTTGCTATCTTAGGTTGGTAAGAAAATGATCCAAGTTCTCCATTTGCCCCCAGACATGCATTATCTTCAGTGTTTTCAAAATAATTATATCTTTCAGGATGTTCATGTATATGGCTAATCCTACATTTTACTGGCAAACAGAATATGTAACTCAGGAGCACATCATCTCAGGGTGCAGACCACTGCTTTCCAGGAGTTATATGAATTACTTCTTGGTGCAGGTGCAAATTCATGCTGTGCAGACCTGCTTGTTGCCTTGGAAACAGGACTGCCGCCATCTTGATGGTCCTGCATTACCTACAAAAGATGAAATCAGGTCAAGCACAACTAATTTACACATTTCCTGTAGTGCCCTGTAGTGCCAGGGACCTATCAGTCTCAATCTGCATAGAAAAAAAAAAAAAAAAATCCTATAATGGTAAATTAAAATAGAAAAGCTCATTCTTTAACTTTTTAAAAGCCGCTTTTTCAAAATGCTTTAAAACTAGAAAATAAAAGAAAATGAAAGGCAGGAATTTAAAATCGAACAATCTATTAATAAAGGATTGGGGCAACACAGAAAAAACCCTCTATGTCATACAGAGGTTGGTTTGGGCTAGAGTTGATGCCTTCATCCGCCAGCCATGTATTGGAGGCACCTGCTGCTCCTATAATCAGCAAAGCTGAACTCTCTGAAATCAATTTCATTCCCCTTTGCTATCAGAAAGGACACATCAATTAGGAGCTAAGAAGCCTGCAGCTAAACTCTGAAACAACCAATTCACAGACTAAACACTGAATGTCATGCAGACAAGGAGGTCCCTGCTTAAAACTCACTCAATATGTTTAAATCTATGAGTTTATAATACCAAATAAAATCAAATGGTCACCTTTGGAGGATGATAGAAAAATGATTCATTATTTTGAAAGTTGAAGAAGAGACAGGATTACACACTGATCTTCAGTTTGAGATGTGAGCACTGACATTAGATAACCAGATATGGGGAAGGACAGACTTCTCTTGCTGGAAGTCCAGCTCATGAACCAGGCATCCTCAGGGACTGAGCCCAGCATCTCGTTTCACACCTTCTCATGGCGGAGAGCACACAGGCACGTGCTTCACTGCCTGCCAACATCCAAACGAGATGCCCACCTCAGAGCCTCCACACAGAACCACATCACACCCTCATGAAGGAGACTCACCAGAGGTCACACCTGAATATGGTTAAGCTTCTAGAGCAACTACAGACTTGCAGGGAACCAAGGACACAGGAACACATCACACTCACCCGAGGACCACGACCAGCAAAATCTAGAGTGAGGAATATGGGTCCAACCACGGGGCCTCCTCCACAAATCATGTCCATGGAGGTGAAAGAGATGATAGAGACTTAAGTATCATGTGACCAGGCAACTCTTTACTATGTGGAGGTGCATTCTTCACCCAAGAGACTCTGAAGATGAGGGTACCTGCCATAAAGTGAGGTCAGCAGTTACTTTTGTCAGGAAGGAGGGAGGGAGATGTGATGGACAGGACACATTGCAGAATTCTGGGGAGCCAGCAAAATCTTTATTTTTTATCCTATCCTGAGGATATGCTATTAATTTGAAAGAGAGGGGAAGGCAGAGAGAGAAACCACACACAAGAGTATTCATCACCTTGTGGTTCAGTGGTTACAGCGTTGGCTCATGTACCAAAGATTAGTGGGTTTGATTCCAGGTCAACAGCATGTACCTGGATTTCAGATTTGCTCCCTGTCCCCTGGTCAGGGCAAGTTCAAGAGGCAAACAATTGATTTAACTCTCTCACTTCATTGTTTGTTTCCCCCCCACCCTCGCTTCCACTCTCTCTGAAAAGCAATGGGAAAAACTATCCTCTGGTGAAGATTAGTAACAATAACAAAAGAATATTCATGAAGGGCTTTTTAAAAATATATACATATATTTTATCGATTTTTTACAGAGAGGGAGAGGGATATAGAGTTAGAAACATTAATCAGCTGCCTCCTACACACCCCCTACTAGGGATGTGCCCACAACCAAGGTACATGTCCTTGATGGGAATTGAACCTGGGACTCTTCAGTCCATAGGCTGATGCTCTATCCACTGAGCCAAATCGGTTAGGGCCAAGAAGGGCTTTTAAACATGGTACTTTATTCATCCTAAGGAGGACACAGGTGACTAAATACAGATTTGAACTGCACGAGTCCACTTAGAAGTGGATTTTTAATCAATAAATACCTGTAGTCGTATTTCTGATCTGTAGTTGGGAGTCATGAATACAAAGGGCCACGGTATGTGTTGATCTACACCATTTTATACAGGGAACCTGAGAGCATCTGTGTGTGTGTGTGTGTGTGTGTGTGTGTGTGTTCTGAAACAGACTCCCTATGGATACCAAGGGCCACCTAAGTTTTGGGGGAATCCAATGTTATCCGTGGATTTTCAACTGCATGGGGTCGTTGCTCTCAACCCTATATTACTCACGGTCAACTGTGTATATTAAGGACAAAAAGAACTTAAAAACAAAAACACTTAAAACTTTCCTAGTAGTAGTAGAGGTAACATAGTATTATAAGTTAGCAATTTTATTTTATGTACATTTTAGCATAAAACAAGTAATTATGTCAATGGTATGAAGAATCAAGATTTTCAGGATAGAAAAATGGTACAAATTTTACAAATTCAAGAAAGTGTTCTTGCTGGTATTGGTCAGTGGTTAGAACATCAGTCCTTGTACCAAAGGGTCCTGGGTTTGATTCCCCGTCAAGATCATGTACCTCAGTTGCAGGTTTGAACTCTGGTCCCAGTGGGGGTGGGTGGGAAAGCAGCAAATCAATGTGTCTCTCTCACATCGATATTTCTCTCTCTCTCATTTTCTCTCCTCTCTCCCTTCATTCCTTCCTCCCTTTCAGGCTCTCTAAGAAGCAAAAAAAAAAAAAAAAAAAAAAAAAAAAAAAAAAAAAAAATCCTCAAGTGAAGATTAACAAAAAAACAAACGAACAAAAAATCAAAGAATTTAAGTAAAACTGACTTTAAATGTGTACTAAAAATATCAGTATGAACTCATGATGTTTAAAATATGTTTCCTAGCCGAAACCGGTTTGGCTCAGTGGATAGAGCCTCGGCCTGCGGACTGAAAGGTCCCAGGTTTGATTCCGATCAAGGGCATGTACCTTGGTTGCGGGCACATCCCCAGTATGGGGTGTGCAAGAGGCAGCTGACCAATGTTTCTAACTCTCTATTCTTCTCTCTTCCTCTCTGTAAAAAATCAATAAAATATATTTAAAAAATAAAATAAAATAAAATGTTTCCTAGCTCTGTCCACCAGAGAGGTGCTCACAGACGAGAGGTGCTCACAGACGAACATGGTGACACATCTGACACCAGAGCTTGGTCTCTGAGCACCTTTCTGCACTGAAAGGAGCCAACGCCCCTGGAGAAACGGCTCCCAGGTGTGGGAAAGGAAGGCAAGGTCCAGAAGGAAGTGCTCCCAGAGGATGCTGAGTGGGAAGGGGATCTCAACTCATCACAGTTATAATCAAAATCAAAAACACACTTTAACAGATTACAATATAATGAATAAATCCTTAGCTTGCACTAATATTCAAAGAAGAAAAAGGAAGAATAGCCCAAACCTGTTTGTCTCAGTGGATAGAGTGTCGGCCTGCGGACTGAAAGGTCCCGGGTTCGATTCCGGTCAAGGGCATGTACCTTGGTTGCAGGCACATACCCAGTGGGGGGTGTGCAAGAGGCAGCCGATCGATGATTCTCTCTCATTGATGTTTCTAACTTTCTATCCCTCTCTCTTCTTCTCTATAAAAAAAAAAAAAAATCAATAAAATATATTTTAAAAAAAAGAAGAAGAAGAAATGAAAAAGGAAGAGTAAAGACGTGGAGCTGAATATTCCAGCCAATTGCTTCCCCTGAGAAGTGGTCACAAAGGGAGAGCTTTTACCACGTCCCGTCTTTCAGAGATATAACGAATGAGGAACAGAGGAAACAGCAGCAGCATCAGAAAGCTGGCATCAGCGCAGAGGACGGCTGCTGAGGACCGTGGGGAGCACTCAGCATCACACATGGAGATGTGCCACCTTTCAGGGCATATACAGGGGCAGCCAGATTCAGAAAGAGCAAAACATAAATAGGAACAATAAATTCCAATGGCTCAAGCCAACTCCTGAAAGGTAAGAAGTGCCTTCAAAATCCAAGAGCAATTAGAATACTGACAGTTGCTGACTCTGAAACTACTTGTTTTGCGCAAAGAAACTCACAAGGAAACCCAGAGCAGGCAGAGTGAATGAGCGCCTACCCAACATGGGCGGCTCTTGGTCTGTGCCACCTCGGGGCCCATGTCACTCACCACTCTGGTTCCCCCACCAGGCAACCCTCACACTGAAGAGATTGGCCTGCAGGGGCTGCAGCCCAGCGAGTACCAAGTCAGGGACCACACTGACCATGATCACTGCTCTTCACGCGCCCACAGCTCCACTTCCCCACCGGGGTGGTCCCTCTCCGACAGCCCCGAGGCTGTCAGATACACACAGATACACACAGTCACCCCTTGATGCCCAGGGGGGATGGGTGCCAGGACCCACCTCGGGTACCAAAACCCAGCATGCTCACGTCCCTTACAGTAAGGGCATAGTACCGCTGACCCCCTTCCCCACCCAGCAGTCAAAAATCACACGTGACTTCTGACTGCCAAGTTAACTATTATAGCCTACTACTGCCTGGAAACCTTACCAGTAATAGAAATAGCCCACTAACACAGTCTATCCATGTATTGTACATTGTTTTCTTACAATAGAGAAAATGTTAAGAAAAATTTGAGAAAGTACATTGATTGTATTTTCCACATATAAGTGAGCCCTCACAGTCCAAAGCCTTGTTGTTCAAGAATCAACCTGTAAGCTTTAAAGCACCTTACTCCACCTAATGCGATGCAAACGGTAGCTACAATGCATTGTTTGGGACGGTGACATGTC